AATGAAACCTTCTGCAATGCTGAGGCCGCAAGGGAAGGTTACGTTCATGTCCCAAGGCCTCTCCTGTACATGCCAGGTGTGTGTGTCCATGATCTTGGCTGGCTGAGGCTAGGGGTAGGATCAGTGTGAAGACCCAGCTGGGGTTCCTGTCCCTCTCTCTTTGATGAAATTAATGAATTTAAAAGTGAGAAAGAATATTTGAAGCAGTAACGATTATTCTTTTTTTTATTATATAAATTTTATTTGTTCATTCATTTATTTAAATTTGACCAGAAAGAGACAGAGAGACAGAGAGAGAAGTAGAGGGAATGTAAAAAAGCAAGTCATCAGGTCTGGGATGTGAACTGTGGTCGACCATGTAGGAATCCAGTGTCCAATGCTTTAACCACCACGCCACCTGCTGGTCCCCGTGTTTCAATTTTTCTTTTTTTGGAGAGGTTTTTGCTACAGGGCACATGCATTTGCCAGAGAGACAGAGAGATGGAAAGCGAGAAATCACCCACGGGGGGTGGGGGGGTGGCCACACCCTTATCCTCCATCCTCCTCTTGGGATCTTGGGCACACATGCACATGCACCCGTTGTGAGTTTAAGCCACTGGGTCCGGGACTTGAACCGTGGTTGACTACATGGGAGTCCAGCAACGTAGCCATTATGCCAACTGCTGGTCCTGATCATGGTTCAATTTGGGCTAGCCTGTGGCCTAGTAGTCAAGGGAGCTGGATTTCACATGGGCTACTATGCAGTTGGAATCCTAGACCTGGTGGCTTAAAAATATCACACTGGGCACATGTGTGTCCCTAAAATTCCAAAAGGGAGAAGTGGAGAAAAGATTTAGAGTTGACCATTCCCCATTGGGGGTAGTTTTTTCCTCTTCTCTCTGTCTCTCCGGTGGGCACATGTACCCTCTGGCAAAAGTTAAAAAAGATAAGGCAAACTAATTAAAAATGAGCAAAAGTGGGACCAGCAGTTAGAGTAATGGCTATGTCGCTGGACTCCCACATAGTCGACCGTGGTTGGAGTCCTGGACCCGGTGGCTTAAACTCACGCCTGGTGCGTGTGCGTGCGTGCCCAAGATCCTGAGAGGAGAATGGAGGAGAAGGGACTGCCGCACGGCCATCCCCCCTGGGGGGTGATTTCTCATTTTCTGTCTCTCTGTCTCTGTCTGGCGAGCGCACACGCCCTATAGCAAAAACCTCTCCAAAAAAAGAAAAAAAAATGAGCAAAGGCTCTGAATAGTAATTTCTCTAAAAATGACACACAAATGGCCAATGGGGCACACGAAGAGATTTGCATATCATTAGTTACCAGGAAAATAAAAATCACAACCACAAGATGTCACACCATACCAACTTGCTAGAATAAAGGTAGATAACAAGTGCTGAGAGACTGAAACCTTTGCACGTTGTTGGTGGAATGTGAAATAGGTGGTGCTCCTTAGGGGACTGGGGAAGTCCTCGGATGACTGAACAGTTACCAGACTACAATTCTACTCCTAGGTGTACACTCAAGAGAAATGGAAACACACACTCATAAACTTGTACACAGATATTTACAGCAGCATTATTCATATTAGCCAAAAGGTGGAAATAACTTAAAGTTCCAAAAACAGGAGAATAAACAAAATATGGTGTGGACATGCAATGAAATGTTACTTGGCTGCAAAAAGAAACAAATATGTTCAGTGTAATGAACCCTGAGAGCATTGTGCTAAATGAGTCACAAAATACCTACCATGTCCTATGTGATTACATTTACAATGTAAATTCAGAACAGGGAAATCTACAAAGCTATCACCTCCGTACCCTGGGGGGTACGGAGGTGATAGCTAAAGGGTTCATGGTTTACTAAGTGATGAAAATATTTGAAAATTGGTTGTGGCTATTATGGTTTGGATAATGGTTTCTCCCCTAAATGTTCATGGAATCTGATCCTAGTGAGAGGTGGCTGGATCATGATGGTGCTGGTCTCATGAGTGGATTAATACCATCTCACGAGAAGCTGAGTTGAATTCTAGCTCTCATGAGAAAGGGTTAATTCTTGCAGGAGTGGGTCATTACAAGAGATGGCTCTTTCTGCATTTGTGCCCACCAATCTCTGCCTCTGTTGGCCATGCTGTGGGCCAGCCTGATGCTGCTCCCTTCACTTTTCAACTGCCACCAGAACCATGAGTCAAATATGTATGTGTATACACACACACACATATGCACACACATTTGGCCAGAAAGCATGTACATTCACTAAAGATGGGGGGGGAGAGAAAGCACCCCACAATGGGACAAGATCATACTATAATCCTCTTCCATTTCTCCATCCTGTAGGAATATTGGGCACACACAGGAACCCAATGTATCTTTCAAGCCACTGGGGCTGGGTTTGAACCACAGTCAACCACGTGGGATCTGGCTCTCTTAACCACTACACAAGGCCAGTTCAATCTCTGTTCTTTATAAATCACCCAATTTGGGGTACTTCTGTTAGTAGAATAGTAATAGACTAAGATGATGATGGTTAGAGCTGTCTGTGAAAAGATTAAAAACCACTGAATTGTAGGGGATTGGCAGTTGGCGTAATGGCTGTCGCTGGACTCCCACGTAGTTGACTGCGGTTCCAGTCTCGGACCTCATGGCTTAAACTCACACTGGGCGTGTGTGCCCAAGATCCAGAGAGAAGAATGGAGAAGGGACTGTGGCATGGCCATCCTCCCATCCCCATCCCCCCGGGGGGAGTGATTTCTTGCTGTCTTTCTGGTGAGCGCATGTGCCCTATAGCAAAAACCTCTCCAAAAAAAAAAAAAAAAAAGTTTACATGGAAAGGCAAAGGAACTATATTAGCTAAAACAGATCTTGAGGGCCAGCAGATGGTATGGTGGTTAAAGCACTGGATTCCCACATGGCCAACCATGGTTCTAGTCCAGGACCTGGAGACTTGCTTTCTCACTTCCTCTCTTTCTCGTCAAATTAAAAATAATAGTACTAAATAAGTTAAATAATTCTGAAAAACAGAGATCTTAAAATATGGAAGAGAAACCACTTATCTTACCCAATAGCAAGGCTAGTCACTGAGAACAGCAATACTGGCCTAAGGGCAGGTAACATGCCCAATGGCACAGAATAGAAAACCCAGAAACAGGAGCTATTGAGTCGTCAGAAAGTCACGATCTTTCTGTTTTTCTATGCAAAAACATGTGATGATTTTTCTGATGTTGGCATGGTGGGTAAGGCAATTGCACCCCACATGGTCAATTGCACAAAACTTGAGTCCTGGATCCGGTAGTTTGAAAAATGTGTGCATGTGTACCAATAAACCCCAAGAGGAGGATGGAGAAGGGACTCTGGTGTAGCCATCCCTCTGGGGTTGCTTTCTCACTTTTCTGTCTCTCTGCATATACACCCTGTAGTAAATTTTAAAAAAGAAAAGAAAATCCAGAAACAGACTCATACAACTGACTTTTTATAAGTTCAAAAGGAGGGGACCCGGGACCAGCCGTGAGTGTAATGGTTATGTCGCTGGACTCCCATGTAGTTGACCACAGTTCGAGTCTCGGACCCAGTGGCTTAAACTCACGCCGGGCGCGTGTGCGTGCGTGCCCAAGATCCCAAAAGGAGAATGGAGGAGGGATTGCAGTGTGGCCATCGCCCCTGGGGGGGTGATTTCTCGCTTTCCGTCTGTCTGGTGAGCGCATGTGCCCTATAGCAAAAACCTCTCAAGAAAAAGGAGGGGACCCGCAGGTGGTATGGTGGTTGGGGTGCTGGACACTCTCACATGGCCAACCATGGTTTGAGTCCTGAACCTGGTGGCTTGCTTTCTCACTTTCCCTCTCTCTCTTTCTCTGGTCAAATTAAAATAAATCAATCAATAAAATTAAACTAAAAAAAAAAAAAAAAAAAAAAAGGAAACAAAGGGGGAGAAACAACGAAAAAAATAAAAAAAAAAAAAAAAAAAAAAAAAAAAGGAAGTCAATGGGAGAGAATGGCCTTTTCAACAAGTGGTTCTGCGGCACTTGGACACCTAAGAAAAAAACAAAAACAGCTTCACCTTCTCACAAAAATGATGCAAGAGTACCTCCATTTGAAAAGTAACTCAGATGTAAAATACGAAACTAACAATCTTAGAGGGAGAGAACAGGAAATCAAGGACCTTGCCACCCAAAGTATGACTCATTACAGGGAAAACGACAGGACTTCATGAAAAATGACCTTTGCTCTGCAAAAGACCTCAAGATGGAGACAACCTGGAGTGGGAGAGTCCTACGCCCAGGAACAATTGGTTTCTCAGATACATGAAGATGTCTCAGAACTCACCCAAAACAGGAAACAATCCAAGTATGACCCCGACAGAAGACGGGAGACATTTCCTCAAAGAACAGATGCCAAACAGATGCGCTCTCATGCAGTTTATCTGAGATGAAAAGGCGTTCTATAATACTAGCTATGAGGGAAATGTAACTTGGAATGGCGTCACTGCGTATTTTTCTTTTACCACAATCTAAAACATCAGTGACACCACCAAGAGTGGGTGAGGATGAACTGCTCCCCACCGCCCTGCTGGCAGAAATGGAAAATAGCACAGCACTACAGTCAACTGGGTCTCAAGAGCTCAACACCCCAATTCCCTACAATGGGCACTTGCACCCATGGATGACTGGCTATTTCATTGATAACCCCTGGTAGGTGAGTGGGGACCAGCCACATCCATGGAACAGAGCAACAGGCTGCATGGCAGTGAGACCTGTTAGTGACACAATGACTCAGGGTTCACCTATTTGAACTCGACTCCTGTCCCTTCTTGTGACATCCTTGAAATGACAACATGGTAGGGACAAGAAAGCTCCTGGCTGTTTATAGAAGACAGGCAAAGGCTCTCCTGGTGAGGGTTGTCTCTGGCACCTGCTCCTACTACACAGGGTGTGCCTTGCACCTGTGGCCTGCTGGGGGAATCAGTGGGTTGTTACAACTGTTCAGGGAACCATGATCGCCTCAAAGCAAGCCAGCTGCACAAGTGGTGGACAGGATGAGCTTTTATTTCCGTAGTAATAGATACACAGGTAGCCCTCCCGACCTTGTCCCTGCAGACCCTGTGCCACCCCAAGAATCAAGTTGCAATGCTTGCTGCCACTGTCTCCTTGAGGGAATCCTGTGCCCCTCATACCAGGTTAGGGGACACTTGTCTGTGGCAACCTGAACACCCATGCCAGGGAGGACCTGTGTCTTGCTTGCTGGAGCAGTTCCCAGTGAACAGCACACAGCTGATCAGGCTGCAGGCCAGGCTTCCAGCAGGAGGGAAAGACTGCTCTCCAGGGAATGGTGGGGCAGGTCCCTGCTCACAGCTCTGCCCCAGCAGCAACCTTGAGAGGGATTGTCAGAGTTCTCTTTAATCAGGCTCCTCCAAAGGCTGTCTGCGGCAACCCTGCTGCTTCTCCACATCTGGCCCCCACATCAGTCAGTGGTTTCCCTCTCCTGCTCCTCCCAAGAGCTCATCTGCTCTTGTATCACCTGTCACCAGAGCCACTGGGGGTCCCTTCACTCTGAAGATGATGGGCTCAGTGACCACAGCCCCTTCTGAACTCCGTTTGGCCTCTCTGGAAGCTCCTCGGCTTGGAGGCTCAGAATCTTAGGGTACCCTCTACCTGCATGGGCTGACCTCAAGTCTCTAAGCAACAGGGAATAACAAAGGACAGGAGCCCTATGTCCCTATGGGAAGCAGAAAGACAAGGACAATAGATGACCTGGGTCTGAGCCCACTTTCCTGTCCCTCCTCTGCTCTCGACAAGCAGGGTCTTTCAGGGGGTCGGGGGATGCACAGGACCATACCATGGGGAGTCAGTCCCTGCTCACGAAGCACATGAGGTCAGGGGGCTGGCAGAGCCTGGACACCTCCTGACATCAAACACCAAAACCAGATTTATTACCCGCAGGACAGGCCCTAGTGCTTGGGCCACCCACACTGTGGTCAAGGTCTTATATGGAGGTTTCTCCTCAAGGACAAAAGCCCTCTGCTGCCCAGTGCCCATGACAAGGACTCTGGGCAGTTGGCCCTGGGTATGCATCCCACGCTGCTGGCCAGGTCACTTGGCCAGCTCCTCAGCCACTGCTTTGCGCATCTTGTCCTTGAGGTAGGCGCCTTTCTGCCACTCAGACTTGAGTTCCAGCCATTCGTAGTATGGGACCTGGAGGAGGGCAGTGGTGAGGGTCACATGGCCAGGGACCCCTTCCTGCTCCTGCCTACACATGGCCTCTCTGCAGCAGCACCAGCTGGAGAGCATGGAACAACTGTCCTGGGCTTCTGTGCCTTCTAGGGAGAGCCCACAGGACTGAGGGTAGACAGGGGAGCCCTGGCTGCCAGTGCCAAGAGGTCTGCAGACCACCAGACTCCCAAAGGGCTTTGGGATCTTAAAACATTGTTAAAAAAAACAAACAAAAAGACACAACCCAAAAAATATCTGACAGGATCTTTTTGTGTCTGGCTCCCCAAAAAAGGTATTCCCTGGTGCTTTATAGGAAGCTGGCGCCCTACGGTCTGGGCAGGTGGTGCTAGATCAGAACATGATGGGGAGTTCCATGACAGCCACCTGTGGGCATCCAGCTGGTGCCATTCTAAGAGGCCCTCAAGAAGCAGAGAAGTGACTTCCTGGGTCTCAGAACTGCTGTGGTGCTGTGGGGGGAGCCCAGTGCAACCGTTCTGAAGGAGCAGGAGCAGGGTAGGTGGGGTACCGAGGCCAGGTACTTGGAGTAGGATGGGGCCTGGCTGCCCAGTGGGTACTCACATCCACCACCAGAAAGCCTGCAGCCAGCATGTGGCGCCTGGCCAGAACAAAGCGTCCCAGCAGGTCCTTGCTTCTGCTGGTGAAGCTGGGGAATTCCCATCGCAGGAAGGCCAGCCTGGAGGAGGTAAGAGTGACAGTGTCTGATCTTCCAGCTTTAGGAGGTGGGCAGAAGGGGAAGCTGTGCAGCCACCCACCTCTTAGCCCCGGGAGGCAGTGGCTTGTCTCCAGCTGGCTGGATGAGGTGTGGTGCAACGAAGCTCCTCAGGGGCAGAAACTGGCTGTCAGCGTCCAGTAGCACCTCAGCATCTAGGGAAGGGGCAGGGGATGAGAGCATGCTGGGGACCTGTCTAACTCTCGAGGCTGCTCCCAGGAAGGACAGAGATGAGATGGGAGGCCCAAGCCCACAACCTGCAGGGGTGGGTCAGGCCTTGCTGCAGAGGGGACAGAGTCAGAACATTCTAAACCACTAGATCCAGGCAGACCTGCCCTGGCTTGGGGAGCCCTTACCCAACACCCAGCCGTACTGTGTGGCCACTTCGAAGCTGCCCTGGTCAGTGCTCCCCAGCAGTCCCTTCAGGGTGCCCTGCAGCTCCTTCTGCAGAGGGGTCACCTTTGTGTCAAGGGCTGGGGATCTGAGGGAAAGGGCTGAGGCTGGCAGGAGGGGGCCTGTGTACTCGGGGCGCTCCAGCTGGGCAGTGGCGTTGATATGAAGCAGCTTCTGGAAGGTGATCTGATCCTTCTGAGACTTGCCCCCTGTCGGATAAGGATAGTGAGTGAGGAGGGCAAGGGCCAGAGACAAAGGAGGGCCCAGTGGACAAGTAGCATCACCTCCCCCAGCCCAGATGGAGGCAGGAGGAACTGGGAGTAGACAGAGAAGGAGCTGTGGCAGCACTAGGGGCTCACCTAAGAGCTGAGCATGGAAGTCAGGGTGGAGGATGGCCCGTAGCTCCGCCTCCTGCACATGCTGCAGCACGCATAGCGCCCAGACCAGGTCCACCTGCAGAGCTGGCTTGAGGCCAGCCAGCTTTGGCCCTAGTCTCTCGTGCACCTGGGAGAGAATGGGTGTGGTGGGGAAGGTGTGAAGACACCACAGGACCCACGGAGGCCAGAGGCAGCTCTAGAAAACATCCTCAGGACCAGCAGTTAGCGTGATGGCTATGTTGCTGAACTCCCATGTAGTCGACCACGGTTCGTATCCTGGACCCGGTGGCTTAAACTCATGCCAGGCACGTGTGCGTGTGTGCGTGCCAAAGATACCAAGAGGAGAATGGAGAAGAGATTGTGGCGTGGCCATCCCCCCTGGCGGGTGATTTCTCATTTTCTGTCTCTTTTGTCTTTCTGGCGAGTGCACACGCCCTATAGCAAAAAACACCTCTCCAAAAAAATAAATAAAAAGAAAACATCGTCATGCCCTAACCCTGTGCGGGGTGGTGGGGGGCATCGGGCAAAGTTTACTCCTGCCTGTCCAGCATACAAAATGCCTTCCCTAGTAACGTCCCCAAGTGTGCAACTGGGATGGCTGAGGGTCAGAGCATTTGCGAGGGAACAGCTGGCTGCTACCTACCAGTCTTTTCAGCAGGCCTCTGAAGAGGCCCACTGAGGCTTCTGAATGTCAGCGTGTCAGGGAACACCAGGAAACTGGATGCAGGGCTCACCAGCCCTGGGAGGGAATCACCCAGATGGCACAAAGGGATTTCCTGTGTCTTTCCCCAGGGACGCCTGGCTCCAGGAGGCACCCCCTGCCCCATGCCAGGCCCCTGTCATCTTGCCTTTGCATGTGGGGCCACTTTCCTCTGCCTACCTAAGCTGCCCCAGGAGGATGGTTCACAAGCCAGAAGCTGGCAAGAAAGGGGATAAAGAATGGGGAGTGGGAGCCTAGAGACCATACCAGGCTGAAGAACTGGTCCTCTTGCTGCGGACGGAAGTTCAGGCAGGCGAAAGCCAGGAGCACGTTGCACAGTTGGGGCAAGGCGATGTCCTGGGCCCTGTTCAGGACATGCTGGGCCGGTCGGCACGGCAAGGGACAGGGTGAGCACTCTGCCCAACAGGTCATACTCCCACCCAGCTCTGAGTCTGAGGGATGCCTGGTGGCCAGGAACAGCTGCAGGCTTCCCAGGTATGCGTCACAGAGGGTCAGCAGCAAGGACCCATGGCAGATGGGGGATATCTAGAGGCCACCTCCCTCCAACAATGGCTGTAGAAATACTCTCCAATCGGTGCACTGGGATTAGCCCCCACTCATGACCTACGCAGAGACAGTGGTTCCTAGCATTCCATCTAGGGCAGTCCACAGCCTGAGAGCTCAGTGGTCCTCAGACGCACCTGTGTGGCAGCTCTAGCTGCCACATGATGACAATCAGGAGGGGACAGGGTTCTCTCGAAGCCATTCCCACCACTGAATGCAACACTTTCCATGTAAGCCAGAAGGTGAGAATGCCTGCTGCCACCCTAAGGATGCTCTCAGACAGGTTTTTCCCAATCAAGGCAACAGTTCCCAGCCGATGCCTGGAAAGTCCAGGCCAGGCTCACCTGGGCAAGGGCCTCAAACAGGGGTAGGTTGAGCCACTTGAGGAAGGCGAAAGACTTAACACAACGGGCCACCTCGCTGGGTGTCAGGCTGGGCACGAGGGGTAGCAGGTCAGTGGCCAGGCGCTGGGATACCTGGGTCTGCTGGAAGCTGAGTTTGCCTTTGGGATAGAGGCAGGACACAGGGGCTTAGGTGGGGAAGGTTGCAGCCAGCCTGCTTGTCTACCTTGGCCTTGGTCTAGGCTTGGTGTCTGTGACCAGATCTATCCCTGAACCTGGGAGGGAGGAGCAGGGCCCATGGGTCACAGTGTTTCTGTTGCAGCCTTTGGGGCCAGTGCTTGCCACAGGTAGAGCAGGCACTGAATTTGACACAGCTGCAACCCCTCCCGCCGTCCTCTGTCCGAAGGCTCACCGTAGGCATAGGCCAGGTCCAGGAGCACATGTTTCGTCAGTGGGAAGGGCTTCTGTACCAGGTGGTAGGAGACAGCCCGCAGCAGGGGCACCGACCGCCGGCTCTGAGCTGCCAGTGTCACCAGCACCTTCCGCAGCTCGTCAGGGCCAAACTGCTCCACCAGCTCCAGGCACTGTCAACCACAGCCACGCAGAGGTCAGCTCGATGGCCTGGGTCGGTGGGGAGGAGCTGGGGGCAGGGGTCCCGTCCAACGTAGGCCCTGCGAGACAGTAACTGGGCCTGAGCTGAGTAAATGTAGGCCTGTCTGTGCAGGGCCCACCCGGAGTCCCTGAAGCACCGCGTCCACAGCCACACTTATCTTCAGGTCCCAGGGCAGGGAGCCAGGGCCCACGGACTCTGGGGCTTTCTGTGGCAGCCACTGGGGCC